GACAAGGAAACATATATCTTACTTCACGACGAGCACGTTTCTTCTTATCCTCATTCATTGCTCCCTTTCTCATTGCACACTTGTAACCAAACTAAAGAAGAAACTCAAATAAACACCATGATTCATAAACTTGCATCAAGAAAACCAAAGGTGTGATTTCAACAATTCTATCCTATTTAACATAAGGATTCAATTCAGCTACGCAGAAAGACAAAACAATAATATCCTTTTCTACCAATATTTTTGTCGATGATCAATATATGGTGGTAGTTTTTGAAAAGTATTTTGATTTATGGTATTTAAGTAAAGGTCAAAAGACAATAATATCCTTTGACATATGCTATATATTTTCGTCTACAATATATTGTCTTTGTCTACCAATATTTTTGTCGATGATCACCATCTCCGTTTTCGTTTCACTTACTTGATTGTTAGATTCTTGAATTGTTCTTCAAGTTTAGTGCTTTTTTTTCAACTAGTTTAGTGCTTATGTGTGTGTTTTTTGTATTTAGGTAGTGGAATGGGCTGTGAAGAACCTAGAATATAAGGTTTTGTCTGATACAAATCAAGACTATAGCTATCAATTGGACAAATGTCCATGGGTTTAGTCCAGTTCGCATTTTATTTGGACGAAACTTGTCTTAAAATTTTAAGCGCACATCAAAACTGTCCAAATGGATCAAGACCATATTTGTCCGCAAACCAAATGGATTTGGATAGCATGGTCAGCGGACGGTCCATGGTCTCTACCTAAACAATAATCACATTATAAAGAAAACAAAATGATTACGTTTTTGAATATTTATTATGTAGCATAAGAGAGAAAACAATTTGTTTTTGAATTTCATTTACAGCTTAGTTTCTCACTATTTTTCGTTCTTGTGTTGTCGCATGCTAGAAGAATCATAGGGGTGTGTTATATTGTAGTCCTCAAGAATGAGTCTCATGTATCACAATTAACTAGTTAGTGCCCATAATCCTCTTCTCGGAACATTTCAAGTTCTTGATTTTTTTTTCGTTAATCCTTTTCACATTTGTCTTATTTTACCAAATTTTCTTCTTCTAGTTATGTGTGATAGAATAAATAATAATAGAAAAAAACAAATTATTTGAAAATATGTGATAAAATAGAATTAAAAATCAAATAATATAAAAAAATAAAAATTAAATTAGATAAATAATCGGTAATTTTCTCTATTGTTGTGTATTAACATT